CATGGGTGACCCCGGCTGAGGCCAACTAGACACTCTTGGTCGTATCCTTATAACCTGGTGCGAAAACCACATGATGCAGCGGATCCGTTGGCGGTGTAGCCAGAATTCGGGCTAGTTGTTTAACCTGCAAAGAAGTTAGGGTCTGAGAGGGTACTGTAGGTCTCTGTGCCAGAGTCCATACTCTGTAATTCGAAACGTGGGAATAGTATGAAGACTTTATGCCCAAGCATCTGCGCAGGTATTGAAAGTACCATGCGTCAATAGACTTTAAATGCCTAAGCTCCAAAGAAAGAGCTGCAAGACCATATTGAAGAACCGGAATTATTGCTGCGTGGAAGACTCTGACTTTCTGCCTAACGTTGATTTTACTACGCCAAAAGTGTTGTAGCTTCATGTACGCGACATGGGCCTTAAATTTACGATCTTGTATAGCTACTTTGGCGGTGTGCGTGCTGGAGACAAATGAGCCGAGATACTTTGAGGAATCTACCTCTGTGACTGGATTTCCTTCCACATATGTGATCCGTGCGTCAGTCTTGTGAGCTGCTTGGAGGAGTTCTGTTTTGGTCTTGGTGAGGTGTAGCCCGTAAAGAGTAGCTTCAACCTGTACAGCTTGCAAAATAGATTCGAGTTGGGACTTTGTAACTGCCAAGAGCAAAGTATCATCTGCGTACTCTACGTCGTAAATGGGTTTTCCTACCGACCAGGAATTTGTAGGGATGCCATGGGTCCTTAACCTGATATCTACATCATGAAATAGAACCGTCATAACCATAGTGAACAAATAGGGGCTTAACGGACAACCCTGACGGATGCCAGTGTGCGGTGTAGCCGTGTATTTCTTCCCAGTCCTGTCCAAGGTAACAAACGATGTATTGGTGTATATATCTTGGATGATATCTAGGTAATGGCGGTGTACTCCAAGTCTTTGTAGAGCTATGTGCATCGAACCGTGATCAACGTTGTCAAAAGCCTGTTTCCAATCTAAAAACAGAAAATGTAATGACGATCCTGTTTTTGCTGTGAAATCCTGCGCGCGCCTGAGCAAGAACAAGGGGTCTTGGGTAGAGCGGTGTGATCTGAACCCGTATTGGGTGTGCCGAAGATGTTCATCGTGAGCGGCGGCCGCGAGTCTGTTGTGGCATAGTTTAGGGTTTAGGGTTTAGGGTTTAGGGTTTAGGGTTTAGGGTTTAGGGTTACTTTATAAAATACATTTAAGAGGGAAATGGGCCTGTAATTGGCAGGGTCGGAGTCTGATCCCTTGCCCTTGTAAATGCTGACTACCATGGCATCTTTCCACTCTGAACATGTCTAGCAGGATGAGTTCTGTTTAGGGGTTTAGGGTTTAGGGTTTAGGGTTTACGGGTTACGGGTTTAGGGTTTAGGGTTTAGGGTTCAGGGTTTAGGTAGGGCTTGAGGTTTACAGTCGGCTAAAATCCCCTAATTCTGCGAAGACCCCTTGAAAACTGCTCCCCGCGGGCCTATTGAAATGGCGACAGAGGCCCACTGCTGGACACGTGCCTGCAGGGCTGCTTGCAAGCCATGCCTGTGAGTCTATACCCATATATATATATATATACATATTATATATATATATGTATATATATATATATGTGTACATCAATAAACTTGACTATGCACTAAACATGAAGATGGACCTCCCCATATGACTGCATGCTTCCTATAACGGGTATGTACATGTAGATGTAGAAACAGCTAGAGCAAGCATGTACATACCCAAATACACACACGTCCAGGACTTCTCCAGGCGGTGAGCTCTTGGGAGAGGGGCTTCGTCTACTTGGTCTACTAGGGTTTAGGGTTTAGGGTCTACTTCTGTCTCGGGATTCAGGGCTGAAACTCCAAGATCTAGGCTACGGTTCCTCGATCCGAAAGCATCCAGAGACCCAAGTGCTGGCTCACGATTCAGGCAGTGTCCTGCTGAGCACAGATGCTTCAGGACGATAGACGCCACCGTGAGACAACAGATGGCCTTTCAATCAGCAGGAGGAACAGAACCAAACGTTGTGGGCATCCGGGCACTTATATGAGATTGCTTTACAATCAATCATGAACGTTGGATGTCTGTATGCCGATGCGCATGCCGCATAAGTAAGTCTATTACAGTGGCACAAAGGTAGGTCTGCATGCAAGCCTTCGCGAGCGACGGGCGGGTATGCACCTACATGCTTTCATCCCTGCATCCATCTGCCTCTGCTTTCCCACTTGTCCGCTTTACGTGTCTATAGATACAGATAAAGAAGAAGCAATGTGGATAAAGATAAGGATGAAGATCGATACAAATAAAACCGAAAACATAAAGACCAAATGTAAAGATAACGGCAAACATAATGTTAACTACAATGATAAAAATGATGTGTGTGCATCTGCATATGCATATATGTACATGTACATGTACATAGTATTTATACACACACAGAGAGTTTTTAAACACGGGCATAGGGACCCGGCAGGCCTGTATGGTGAGGTCTTCCAGCGTCAAGCGGAAGTAGATCGATTGCAGAATCTCGGGGGCGGTTTGGCAAACTTAGCACCCCTAACAAAAGCTGAAACGAAGGCGGTGCCTAAGCAGGAACGACGAAATCTCCACTCATCTCAACTTTTCGACGGTCTGCTCCTAGTTGGCTGACTGGTCCAACTGCTCAAGCTGTGAGAGACTGGGACTGACAGGTAAGCAAACTGCCACCCTGGAACCCGACGAAGACAAGCCCCGAAGCTCTACCCTGGCATGCGCTCCAGGCACCATCTGCGGCAACTGCTCACAGATGATCGTCGCGAAGTGCCGGTTGCTGGCAAGGCCCATATCGAAGACCTTGTCGCCCTTTCCTTGGCATCGGCTATTCTCGGCATGTTCTCTTAGAAAGTTCCGGCCATCACCTACAGCAACCTGCCCAGCTCACAAGCCGCGGTGTCGAAGCACAAGTTGCCGACAACCGCCCCTAGCAACACCTGAAGCCTCGGGTTGCACATCGACAGGCCCAAACAACAAACAACAGAACTCCAGTCGCCAAACCCCTAAACACCAAAAACCCTCAACCAGAAAACCCTGCACCCAAAATCTCTAAACCCAAAGTTAAACTTCCCAAATGCCTCTTGGGCCGGTACAAAAAGCCCCTTTCAAGCAGGCTTCCGAATCGTGCGACGTAGGTGGTCTGGCCCAGCCAAGCCATGCCCTGCAGCTCGCAGGCCATCCACACCTCTTCTACAGGAACACTCTTCGTTGTCCATAAGTCTTTTTTATAAGGGTTCTACCCTAAACCCTAAACCCTAAACCGTTTCAGGGTTTCGGGTTCCTTGAGGGCTCCTTTCAGAATCTAAGAACACCGTGAGCTAGTGAGCTGCGAGGGCTTCCTGGTTTAGGGCTTCGGCTTTTCAGAGTTTGGTTCAGGCCTTACCTGAGGGTTTCCGGTTTAGGGTTTAGGGTTTAGGGTTTAGGGTTTAGGGTTTAGGGTTTAGGGTTTAGGGTCAATGTACCGGCCGAAGAGGGTTCTATGGGGGCTTTCGGGGCTCAAGGTTCAGGGTTTGGGGTGTTAAACTCCAGGGATTGGCCTTTAGGGTTTAGGGCTTGGGTCTAGGATGTCTGGGGTTAACCCTCAATCCTAAACCCTAAACCCCAAACCCTAAACACCAAACCGGGGATTCACTTTCCGTGAGCTGCTCTGGGGCTCCTCAAAGAACCACTCCAAGCAGTAGCTAGAGTAAGAAGCGCAAGACTCATCCACTAAGGGTGGTTCAGGGCCTGGGAGTTGTCCGGCGTAGGCTCATGGGGTCCGGGAAGACTCCTGGAGCTCGTTCCGGGACGGCATATGCAATGTACGGGCCTTAATAATTAGAATAAGGTCATGGGCTCCCATATAGTATAAATATTATAAGCGTTTAGGGTTTAGGGTTTAGGGTTTAGGGTTTAGGGTTTAGGGTTTAGGGGAAAATGCTATAGGCAATTATTAGGGTCCCTGTATTAATTACACGGGTTTTCGCTGAGTGCAACATTGTCAGATGCCGACCGCCTGCTTATCATCCTTGCCTAAACCCTAAACCCTAAACCCTAAACCCTGAACCCCATAAACCCTAAGCC